GCTCATTGATCATCGTTGTCATATAGGGTCGCCTCTCCGGACTCCTGCTCCTATCCGGGCCAGCATTTTCATTTCCCGGAAAAGGAGTACGTGGCGAAGGCATGTCACTGTGAACTCCCGGTGTTTGAGGTAAACCCTTTTGTTCACTTCCATTCCCTTCCACATTCACAGTTCCAGATATCACCGAAGGAATCTCAATGGGCTCTTTGCTCTCTGGGGTACCATCTCCACCTCCCCTGGGCACATCATTCTCACCATCACCACCGGGGGTCATCAGATCCTCAGGGCTCTTGGTATCCATTGCTAAAAGCAAACACACACGCGTCCACAACTCTTGAGAACACAAACAGCTATCATCGAAACAAATATGAGTAAAGTTCGAGACATGCATCAAATTCTGAGAGACAATTTCACAGCTTCCAGTCACCAGGTTTCAAGTAAAACAAACGAAACATTGAACTTTGACCTTCTCTCCAGATTGGCCTAACAGTGGTTCAGCGTCCCAAACCCTGAGTCAAATCCTTCTGACAAAGTGCAAACAATGCTGAAAACTGAAACGCACTCCATACTGTTCCAAATTGAGAAAAGAAAACGACGATCCAAAGTGAAATCAAGTTCCAAAGTTTACTGAAAGCTGAAAACTGCAAAATTTGGTCCCATCTGTTTCTGCAAAATAGAGTAAAATGTCCATGACCTTAACAGATTTCCTGACAGTATCACGGAAAATCACTCAAAAACAGTTCAAAGCAAAACGTTTCAAATTAACATGCAAATATTTCTGGTGATCACTGCTATTCCCCTTCTCGGGTGAGTACCACCTCATCCGCACAATCACCAAAATCTGCATCAAAAGCTCGGATCCAGGCTGTCACTGTGGCAAAACCTTCAGGAGACAATCCCTTAGTCAAACCAACAGCCTGTGACAGGTGGAGCAACATATCCATTGTTTTGCACGATTTGGTAAGTCCATCCGAGGGATTGTGTGCCCCGGCCCAATGCTCTAAATTTAGCCTTCCTTTGTGGTGCAAATGTTGGATATATGCTACACGCAATTCTAGATGTCTGACCCTACGCAACAGTCCCTGCATGGAACTGATTGACAATGCAGCTTTAGCATCATTCTTCATCTCAAGTGCATATTCCCCAGTGGTGAGCTTGGGAAACCCTAGTTGATCCATTGGAATGCCCTCTGCAATGGTCTGAATCAACATACCTACTGACACCATCTCTTTAGCAGTTTCCACCATTGAAATCACTTCAGCCTCTGCGCTTGAAAGTGCAGGCACTTCCTGCCTTCTGCTAAAGAATTTTACAGCACATCCTGACCATACTAGCACAGCACCACTAACGCTAGACGTATTCCAGGAGGCATCACAGAAAGACAAGATAACATTGTCCGGTGTAAGCAGGGGTGGCTCCTCAGCTGGGAATCGTTGCACAAAGTGTAAACGGGTCAACAGCCAACGCAGAAAACTACGCATCACAGATTCAGCAGCAGGAGTGGGTGCAGATTGTGAGAGGAAGGACACAGGAAAAGATAGATCAGCTCGAGACAATGCTGCCCAAGCCAATTGGCCAAGCACTCTCCTATAGCGCACAACGGCCTGTTCAGAAAGAACCTCATTTGCAAACCTCTTTTCTGCCTCTTTATGCAACTCTTCCAATCTTGGCATGCATGAATCCTCTGGTTGAGATTTCAACTTTTCATCCCATGAAGTGAGAATACTTTCCATGTATGCCTTGGTGACACCCATGTAAAGTTCATTTCCTCCATCTGAAGGTCTGTAAATGATGCGTCCCAAAAAATTGACTGCTCCTTTCTTTCGAGCATCAATCCTTCCAGTCAGTTTGATAGACCAAATGGTCTGCAGATGTTCAAAGAATTTCTGTCCGTCTTCAGAATATTCACTAGCAATCATCAAATCATCAACATACACCAGAACCAAAACCAAACCCTTGGTTCCCTTGATTCTAAACAGTGTAACTTCAAAAGTCTCCTGCCCATCCAATGACGTGATGACTCTTTGAAGCTCAAGAAACCAAAGAAGAGGGGCTCTTCTCAACCCATTCATGGCCTTCTTTACGAGCAAAGCAAGTCGATACCGGGCCTCTCCAATCATGATGGTGAAAGTACTTGGCAGCAACACCAAGTCACAAGCATCTTTCTCCACTGGTGCGTTCATGAACGCCACACTCACATCAGCGGTAAGAAGCCAATACCCATTCATGACTACCCATGACAAAAGACATCTCAAGCTGTCCAATGAGCTTGTGGGTGCGTATATGCCTGATCTAAAAGCCGACTCTGCGCCTGATGCGAAGTCACGAACTACTAGTCTACAGCGCACAATGTGACTGGTCTTTTGGGTCTTGACCCATCGACTAGAAAGCAATTTGACCTTCTTTTCCTTGGCCATCTGCCTTGCCTCAGTTTCCTTCAAACAGACACCAACCTTGAGTTTCTCCAAACCTTCCACTTCAGTTTGAAAACCCTTAACCGTTTGTTGATGATCAAGTTCCAAACCAGTGAGTTCATCATAATTTTTGATTGGAACATGAACCTCAATGTCCTTTCCCCCAAAATGAGCTGAAAACGTGGTTCCCTCAAACGTTTCCACCTCAGAATGCTCTTCTTTCCCACAAAAGTCATTCCAAAGAATCCTTGGGACTGATAGATGATCTCATTCAACCAAAAATCCCCTTCTTGATCCTCAACCACATGATCAATAGTCATAGGTTCTGGTCCTTGATGATCATCAACATCATCCATAGGAACATCCTGTGGCATTTCCACAGGCGTTTGTGGTCCTGCAGGGGGTCCTGACTGTCCAGTTGATGGCAAAGATGGTGCAATTGGAACATCATCCAAAAAGTGGTTGGGGTGATTCATGATTCTCTGGCAAACTCTCTCCAAACCCTTCCTCAGGCCTGACTCCTGCCATGAGTGGGAAAAGAACCTGAATGTCATACTTGAGTACTGGATCCATTCCATCAAAGTCCTCAATGATACGGAAATTGTGCGCTCTGACAACCTCACGTACACCAAGACGATCCTCAGTTGATGGATAAACCAGACAACCCCCACCTGTACTGTAGCGCATTCCCAAATAAGCACACAAAATGAGTCTTTGCCCTGCCCACCTTGCTGGTTCCACAGGTTTGGCATAGCCCAAAATCCCAAAAGGATAACTAGCAGGTTTCTGACCTCCACGTTTCTCACGAAGGCCCTCCAACGGTGTGCAACCTTTTGGCCTCTGACAGAAAACGTTGAAAGTCCTAAAAGTGTAGCCCACCAAATGACCAAACAAAGGTGATTCTAGAGCCAACCTGCACCTGACATGCCTCTCCAAAGCCAGCCAGACAGTGAACAAACCCTCCTTGAGGATACAAACAGCTCTCTCAATCCCCTTTGAACTGGGTCGATTCTCAGCAATGTTGCGTTGATGGTAGGACCTACATGATGAGGATTCAAGACCTCTACACATCAAATTCTGAAGATATGGTTCATTGTCGACTGAAAGCTCAACATTTCGACCACCTACTCCAACTTCATTCAACACTGAGACAATTGCACGATGATTGGAATCCCTACTTGACCCCAAAACAACACAACCCATCATCCCAGTTTGCAAAACCAACATGACCAAGATCTTCCAATGTTTCCTTGAAATGAAACACAAATCTGCACAAAGATCAAAATCACTGGTCTCTGCTTTGCGTCTTCTCCTAGCTGGGGTTCTCCCCCGTGCTTGAACGCAAGATGGACATCCCTTGTCATAAGGCCAATGCCCCTGAGATTCGTGCAAAGTCAAAGCGTCCTTCTCAAGCTCTGGAGTGATCAAACTGTCACTCTCAGGATCAGAAAACTGTGGATCAAAATGATGCCTACCAGGTTCAGGTTGAACATTCCTAGGATCACCCTGCTGAAATCTTGGATCATTGCTCTCTGCAACACTTGGTGAATATCCCTCACTCTGTTCCATTTGATCAGCAGATCCCTCATGTTCCCCTTCTCCCCCAGAATCACTGACATCAACATTTTGTGGAAATCCAAAGAACCGTTGAACATCTGAGTTCCTGACTTTCCAAACTACTCGAAGAATCAGACTGCCAATCACCTGAATCCTCCAAATCCTGGCTGGTGAGATTGGTATTGGGCTCATTGGTCAAAACATGCTCAGTCAAAGTGGCTGGATCAACATAAGAAAACATCCGACACACGTAAGAAAAACTTCCCACAACCTCTTCTCTTGTTTGTGAACCCTTCCTACGGTATGTACTCGACTTGGATGGTTTCAAATCTTTCTTTGGAAATTTGGACTGCTTGGGATCAGACACTTTGACCACAACCTGGGACGGTGATGATACCTTAGTGAGTTCAGAATCCTCCACCTTAGCAGGCAATTCCTCAGGCACAGTTGCATTTTTCTCAGTCACTGCACTCAAGTCCATGGGAATTGGTTTATCTGTCTTCTCTTTCTGGTTTTTCTTGGTCTTGGCCAAATCGGGGCTGACGCTCAACCACCACGACCTATCTGCCACTGACAAACTAAAGGTGTGTTTCTTGAACTCTAATCTGGAATCGGTAGGACTTGAAAGCACTGTCCTCCATCCAGATTCCATCAAGGCGTATGTGCTTAGCACATTCAAAATGATGTCAGCCACAACCACTTTGGTCATGGTGACCTGAACTCTGCCTATCTTGAACTTAAGGTCAACCATCCTACGGGTTGGAATCAAACCGTTGTTTGCTCCACGCAAAACAGGAGGAGGACCTGGATACACATGAGAAACTTGGTAGTGGTGAACATGACGCTCTGAGACAATGTGACAAGTGGCACCAGAATCTACGAGCCACTGATGACTTGGTTCCCCAGAACCCAAAGACCACACTCCTTGGTGTGCATCCCTCCGATAAGCCTCAGCACTCAGAAATTGCTCCACCCCACTCTCAGAACATCTTGTCCCGGATGAAGCATCCTCCTTGCCAATCATCATTGTCAACTGAGTTTCTGTTGCTTCCTCATTCTCAGGCTCTTGTTCTCCACCCTCACCCTCTTGTTCTCCCTGGTCTTCTCATCCACACCATGGAAACGTCCTCCCTTTCCACGTCCACGACCCTTTCCTTTTCCTTTGGCCTTTGCTGCTGATTTGGCTTTTGCCTTTGGATCAGACTTGGTGTTCTTTGCAGGCTTCTTCTCTGGATATTTCTTCCAACTTTCCTTCTCCAAATGGCCTGGCCTCCCACAGTGCTTGCACTTGGGAGGATCTGGACAATCACTGGCAAAATGACCCTCACGGCCGCAGTTATGACATCTCTTGCCAGCTGCTGGATTTCGATCAGGATTGGTCACATGAGCTCTCTCAGTAACAAAGTTGGTAGAACGACTCCTGACATAATATTGTTGCACCGATTCCCACAACTGGAGTACCGTGTTGGCTCCAGCAATCATCTGAACGTGCTCCACGACACGCTCTGGCAAATTCCTCAGGTACAACAAGAACTGGTCTCCCTCCATGATCCTCAAATCCAGAAAAGCTCGATAGTTGATGGATCCCTCCAACATTGAATGGTAGCTTTGAATCTCATTGTGAATCTCTCTCAGAATCTCTGGAAGATTATCCACCATTGGTCTTCGGATAGAATACTTCAAAGTCTGCTCTCGATAGTGTAGAGCTTCTGTCCGAGACAGCAGGGCAAACTCCCGACGAATCAAGCGTAGCATCTCAAAACCATTGCTGTCGGCTGTAAGGATCGAAACCAAGTCTGGAACATGATGATGATGCGACGAGATTCTGAAGAAATCTTCCGTTTGTGACTATTGGGGTCACGGATGCGAAGCCAAATGCGATCCCTGAGTCGTGCATTCTGCACGTCATTAATGGATGTCACTTGTGTATGTCCAATGGAAACGAGAGTGCCTCGCTGCGGAATACCTGTGTTGTGAGGAGAAACACTAAACTTGAGATCATTGGTGAGGGCATGTGTGATGGCAGACCAGTCGTGAAGGTTTACGCTGAACAAAGAAGCTGGAATACTGTAAAGGTCTTTGTACCAGTGATGAATCCAAATTCTCATGTAAGGCCACAACTGCGTGAGCCACATGCAAATACCAATGGCTTTCTCAAGGCGCTTGCGAGTAGTTCTGTTTCCATGAAGAAGGTCATCCAAATAGTTGGACACTTTTGCCAACTTATCTGCAGGGATAGTCAAAAAACCGGCGTTGATATGGAAATTCCACCCAATCCATTTGAGGTCTCTCGACAGTTCACACTTTGCCCAAGAAATTGGAACCTTAGTGATCAACACAAAAATGCACAGGAGACAAGCTGAGAGAGGAAGTACCTGAGCATCTTGGTAGACCAAAAAGTCATCTACGTAAAGCAAAGCTACGTGAGAAAGCCAAATCAATCGGTGAAATGTTCTGAGAAGAAAGCCGCCGACTCTGGACCACCAGGCCGCTGAAAAAGAGGCGCCAAACGGACAAACCCGATAAAAGAAGATGCGATCATTCAAGGTGAAGCCTACAAGGCCCCACTCAGAATTTTTTATCACAACCCTTTTGTGTGCGCTCTTGATGTCCAGGGAGAATCCAAGGAGGTCTGCAACTGAGTCTCTGATTGGATAACACCTAAGGACGTCTTTAGCTGATGGGAGGGTAGATCCGTCTGGCACAAAACAGTTTTGGTTTAGGCCGCAGATGCTCTGATCTACTACGAGTCGGGGGGGTCTCCCCTCAGAAATGGCGATACCCAGCTTACCTAGGGCCACTCCAGCCAGGGTTCCTGGATACTCAAAGACCCAGCCTTTGTCCACCTCAGTCTGAACCAACTCTTGGTCGGCTGCTGATTGCCAATTTGAGAAATGAACGGAAAGAGGCTCTTGGCTATGGGGATCCCAAGCTCTGTCATTGCGTGGGAAACAACCCGATAACGGAATGTCTCGTTGGTATCCTGTGCTCACCCCATTGATGAGAGAATCAAAAAATGTGTGATCTGGATCATGCATGATCTCACTAAGTGACTTCAAAACATGGAGTTGCATGGGCTGGTGCGCTCGAACCTGCCAGTCAGGGGTATGGCCATGATCAATCATCAACTTTTCAAGGTCTTGCCGGAAAGGTGCCAAGTTCTGGTCGGAAAAGGGGGGCTCAGGTGATCCAAGTTGACATGCTGCTACCAGTTTCTTGTCAAAACGTTGTGAAATGATGTGCTGCAATGGAGAAAACGAGTCAACAGCTGTGCGGCCTGACATGCTCCAATCTGGCTGAGAGAAAAGTCCCCCACCGTCTTCATGACTGCGAGGGAATGCATCTGATTGCTTGCGAGGGATGATCATCGTACGATTAGTCCAAATGATGTCACCTTGATGCCTGGAAAAAAGAGGTGCAACACAATCTCCAAAAGCCTTGGCGAGGGCCTGAGGATAACGTGCAGTATCTTTACTAAAGAAATATCCTGCTGAGTTGCGCGGACCTGCAATTGTGTCGTGAAACCCATATGGGTGAGGACATGAATTTCCAAGTTTTGTGAGATCACCTAGGCTGCTTGCAAACATCCAACTTTTGTGCCAATTTTGGCCATACTGACATGCTGCCAAGTTGATGCAGTGAATGCCAATTGAGTTCACAAACTGTTGAGTCTCGGCCTCCAGCCATGACATCGCTGAAGGAGGTTGCTCGAGGTGGACATGCCCCCCCGCTGCGTGAATCAATTGAAGGCAGGTTAAACAACGAGACAGCATGGTGTAGCTGGATTGCACTTTCTGCAGGTCTGATGCATTCAGGCCTGGGACTCCTTGCAAATGGTCTGGAGTACGCAAAGCTTTGGGGCCCCCATCATTGCGGAGCTTAAGCCTACTATATTGCGAACATGGAGGACTAGCGGCTCCATAAGCCACAGCCCCACATGAGCAAAGTCTCAGCAAGGCCTCATAGCCATCATCATTCAAAAGGTCCATTTTTGGGTTCAACAAAATATCGAATGAAAGGACGTCACAGCCATGTACCAACAGTGCTTGAGAAAGGGGGCGAGTAACACCGGCTGAAATGTCGAGAAAGATTCGAAAATGCTGAACCTCAGAAATGAACTCAAGGGCTGACGAATGAGGAGGGGCTAAGGGCTCCGCCAAAGTCACTGCTGCTTCCGGCTGAATGCTGGACCTAGGGTGAATACTGTCAGGTTGGGATGGTTCGGAATGCACTGGTGTTTCTCATGTCGGCAAAATGCCGGTGTCATGCACGTCGTCCACATCCTCTATGAGGATAGGATGTGCTGATGGAGTATGCCTGCTGTCCATCGAGGCTGTTGCTTGAATTCGGGGTGAAATCTCTGGCCCAAAATGGGCTAACCCTGCATCTCTGGACCCTGCGCTTGCAAGGTCCATGCCAACTCCAACGGATGGCTCCAGCATCCCTTGTCAGTGAGGAGTGGCTTGGTGGTTTTGGGCACTGTGGGACTTCCCACATGCCGTGCCGTCGCTCATTGGATATGCGCAATTGTGTGCGAACTTGCGAGTGCCATTGGGAAGCTTGAGTTCTGTGACCCAAGCCGTCTTACCTTGTCCCTTAGATCCAACAGTTGATTTGCCCTTATTCCCGGACTTGCCTTTGCCCTTCCCACCTTTGGAGGAGGATGCTGATGTCGATGGAGTCCAAGAAGATGTGGCCTTTGGAGGTCTGGGGCGCAACTGTAAGAGGGTGGATATATCATGGCGGATGTGCGTCAATTCATGTAAGGCGTCATTCATGGTCCAAGATCTGTCGTTAATCAGCTCTGACATGATATACCAGCATTGGCGATCTGCCGCCTGAGATTCGATTATGTTGGCATTTCTGAGTCCCATCTCGGGTTCCACCTTCTGTGTCAACAATGTCATGAATTTCTGAGTGTACTCTTTGAGGGCTGCTAGATGGGCCGCACCGCACATCGCCAGAGCCACATTATGGAGATCCATGAGTGTTCGCACTGCGTGGAGGCCCATGCCTTCATTTCGGATTTCAAGACTTGGCACATCATCAATCATCAAAGCACCCAGTGTGAGGCTTTCCAACTTGGGCATCTTGGCTGCCCGCTGAGTCTGCAACTCTTCTGATTTGGATTGGCTAAGGCGGTACTTCCAAGGGATCCACTGCCACTGCTTCTTAGAGACCTGATGATGAACCAAGGAGAGCAGCCTAGGAAAAGTAGATGGTGTGGTTTCCTGATTGAGAAGCTCTGATGGATAATTTGACAAAAACTTGGCTTTCATGTCATGGATGGTCTGGCTATCCAACTTCGGGGGGAAGCTCTCCGCCCAACCGCCGCTAGAATCCTTAGGACTCTTTTCTCCCCCTGGTGCTCCAAGGGGGTCACTGCTCTGCGATGCCGTCGCTGGTTGACATCTAAGAAACGCTGCTTTCAGAGATGACCGCTGCTGCAGGGATAGTTCTTGATCTGGGATCAATTCACCAAACAGTGCTGCGAATGCATTGACATCAGTTGCTATGAGGCCGAAATTGTGCACATTCCATCCATCTTGGATGAGTCGAGATGCCAAGGAGGGGTCCACCCCAACGTCAGAACATATGTCCTCCTGGCGCGTCCAAAATGGAAGCCCTATTGTAAGACCAAGGTTGGTGAACCAGCAAAAGGATATGCAAAATGTGGTGGTTGATGACGTTAAGGCAACCCATCTGGAGTGAATGCAGTTTGAAACATGTATCAAATTCAACAAATTCCCGCTGTTGAGGAAAAAGGGTCAACCAAAACTGACTTTGTCATTTGCTCCAAATGAAACTGTGTAGGGGTTTCCAAACGAACTCGATCATGACATGCATTGCTACCTTGTGGCCTGATAGATCTATGTGAAACCCCCGCTGTTGAGGAAAACGGGCCAACCATGCACGCGCCTTTTTCATAGGTTCAACCGAGAGCTCCAATTGCCTGCCAACCTTTGCGGCATCCAGGATGAGTACACAAGACCTGATTGCTGTCGAGTGATAAGTCATTACGACGGTGAATCAAATCGGATGCAAAATGACGGCCACAGGCTGTGGCTACAAAGGTTGGGTCTGCTTCAGTCTTTTGAATATGCCAGTCCATGATGACATGAAGGGTATTGCGATAGCATCCGCAATCGAGTTCATCAACAATCAAGGGATCCTCCCGTTTTTGTTTCTTGGTGGCCACTGCTGCTTCGGCTGAACCCTGGCTGGACGTGGAGTCACTGGCCGACTCGGATGAGGTGCTATCTTCTGACACTTGTGTTGCCTCCGTGTCTACAACAAGTTGGGGAGAGTCTGCAAAATGGAAAAACTTCCAATTGAAGGGCACCTTTGTTTTTGAAAAAGACTCCAAAACAAATGTAGGCTCTGCTAACGGTATTTGGCCTCCCCTAATTAGGGGAGTATGTGGGCGCCAACCTGCCTGGACCGTTTTTATGATGATGTCCTGCACCGTCAGGGATCCGTCAACGTCATCCCGAGAGTACAACCTAGTCGATTGGAAGGGGTCTTTGTGTTTACCCTGCAAACGGCGAAGTTCTGGTGCAATCTGCAATTGGGAAGCCCAGCTCAAAAAAGTGGATTTTAGTCCATGAATTGTGTAGTGAGCTGCATTGGAGAATTCCAAGGGTGCGCTACGCCACGGCAAAACTAAGAACCGTCTGAAATGAAACAGGGCTTCAGAGTAAGACATGGCGGAGATAGGCTGTCTAAATGTAACACCTTGAAGGCTAGGAAGCATAAAATCTATCCGTGTGCGGTCCTGACCCGTGAGCACCTGATCTAGCGTGGTGAAAAATCTCTGGAGCCAAGTGTGAGAACCCCTGCTGAGGAACCCTGAGCATAAGACCCCAAAGGGAACGCCCGAAGAACAAGTCTTTGTCTTCCAAGATAGCCCGCGGGGTGAACGGTCATCATATTGCATTTTATGCATCATCACCCGTTGAATATCACCAAATCTCATGCCTGAGAATGCCATGAACAAAAAAGTTCCCAAGGCGAGGACCTCCACGTTGTGCACGAGCTCTGCAAAATGCGGCGCTCCCACTGAACCAGCACAAGCAAGGGAAGGGGCAAGGACTCCTTCCTATCTGCAATGACTTGGATCTTGGAGAAACTAAGCACAAGTGGTGAGAAACATTCTTGAAAACAGGTCAGTTGTAACTGTTTCCAACTCCAACGGATGGCCTTCAAGGCCATGCTGCAATGACCCTTCTCGTGAGCAAGGGCCAATAAGCAATCTGCTAAAACCAAGGCTGACATCTGGTTAAGGCTAATCTGCAAATTGTGGACACATGCTGCAAATGCCAAAAGAGTGGAAAGGTAGCGAAACACAGTTGGAGGTGAAAAGCCGTTCAAGATACGCATCCAATGTTCTTGGCAATTGTCGCTATTAGAAATCTCCATCAAAATTGCAGAGTAAATGCCATAAACTTGCAAAAACCTTGGAATCAACGATGTCACCACTGAGCAGTCACTGGTCCTCCTAGCTCGCGACAATTGATTGGCTGCTGGGTCACTCGCTGACTTTGCGATTTGCAAAACACGAGGTTGTGACTTCTGTGGTGTTGCAGAACCATCAGATGGAATGTTTGGAAATGATGCAACGAGGTGGAGCTAATGAGGCTGCATTCTGTCTCGTGTTGGTCGAGCTAGTGGTTTAGCTGTACTACTAAGCAACACTGGCCTCCATCCTGCAGAGCGGCTCAACACGTCGGGTCTGGGTAAAGGTGAACCTGCAGGACGAGGAACAGCTGATGATTGGACCTGCAAACCTGATGCCTGCTGAATTTCCGAAGTAGGACGACCGTCCACATCTAAATGGTATCGAGATGTCAAGCGTGGTGCATGAGTTTGGATGGGTCTTGCAAGTGGTTCTGAAACATCTGGTGAACCCACTACACTCCAATCATCTTCATCTGCTGATTCAAGGTCCATCTCGAGACAGCATGAGTGGCAATGCAAACGCCAAGTACAAGACAGTCAGATCTGCAATTTCCAAACGGCAAGCACTGAGGGCCGGATGAGGCTCCAAAAGTGGTCAACGAAACATGGCCACGAGATCCCCCGGGGATGAAACTACGCGTGCAACTCTAAAGGTGAAAAAGCAACTGACTGCCAAGTGCGGAAGTGAACCAACTGGTGCGACCGAAAAACAAGTGCAGCATGATGCCCAAACAACATGAGTGTTCATGCTGCTGTGTTCGCTATGTGAGTTTTTTTTTTAAATTTCTTGCCACCCATGCTATGCTATGCTGCCACCAACACATGCTTGATCCAAAATTTGCCAAACAAATTAAGATCAACGTAAAACAAACATGAACAAGTACATGTACAATTCCGAGAAAGCATGGTTCTTATCAGCATCGCTCGAGAGCTCCCACCCCAGAGAGCTGAAAAGAAGGTTCATCATGCGCTCCGTTTGAACTGCAGCACCAGGTTCACAAATACAAACGAAGTCATCATAGAAAGAGCTCCAAACTAACGAAGCTCGAGCAGTGCCAATCATCTTGAGCGCTTGGGACACCCTCAAGAATGCCGCCACAGATGCCGTAGCCCCAAAAGGCATTGACTCCATCTTGAAAAGCTTTGCTCGGCGCTCTGCAGGGTCGAACACTGAGATCCAAGCGAAGTTGAGGTGCGTGCTGTTGATGCCAATCTGGCGATACGCCTTCCGCAGATCAAAGGTTCGGCCAACGAGCTTCAAAGGTACCGGCGACAGTTGCATCCACCGCTTGATCATGCCAGCAATTTTGTCAATGGCGTCGACCATGAATTTCTCTTGCAAACCAACTGTAGCATTGACATGCGAAGCAGAGAAGTTGTCAATCGGTCGCAACTTACCTTTCTGCACCAAGCCAAATCGCGGAGAAACTACCGCCCCAGGAGGCAAGTCAGCACACTCGAAAGGCCCTGAAAGGAAGCCCGCAGCCACCTCATCGAGAGTAGCTTGCCACAACATGTCATCCAGCTGTGGATCAGAGGTCGCCTTAGTTGACGCAATCGTCTTTGCTGAAAAGACATCAGCCATGCTCACCAAAGTCTCCAAGTGCAAGGACGGCGCACGAACTTGACCCGGAAAAACTCCAGAAGCTGGCAGCCAGCCTCCCAAAGGAAAACCCTCGGACATCTCGTCAGCAATATTGACATCCGGATACTGAATGTGTTCCAGAGCGCGCTTGAAGACGCACACGCGCTTCTTTTCCAAAATCTTCCGAAGGTGGGCCGGCATCCCAGCACGTAATTCGCCTTCTTGTCTGTCAAGGTCCTTGCACCATTGGAGCAGCAGCTTTGAAAAAGAACATTGTACCCGGCGGAACTCAAGCCCCTTGTCAGAGATGTGCGCATGTATCGCTTTTTCCAAAGCATCGCCAACTCGCAGAGCCATATGCAACGGGTGTGTCAAGGTGCAAGCCGCGGCGATATAGTCCATATAATTTCTGGGAATGCCCACCATGGCAAACATGAGCTCAGCAGGTGCAGACTCCGGCCCATCCGCTGCGGACCTAATGTTTTCCATAGACTCTGAAGCCCAAGAATCACCCCCATCGTGTTTCGAAAAACGTACCAACCGAGAGCCTGGTGGAAAGGCCTGCAAAGATGCCGGCAAACGCTGTCCAGGCGCTAACTGCTGCAGATCAGGGAAATCTGCAATGGCGAACGGCTGAGGTTGCAAAAAATCTGATAGGACAGGAGGAGCACGACGTCCACGGGGCAAACAACCCGAAATGGCTTTGTTCACTTGTGCATTTTGAAAATTGTTGAAAAAATGGTCCATTTGGTCGGCCACGTCAATGAAACCACGTTCCAAAGCACGGTCTTTGACGGCTAGTGCCCAGCTAGCAGCCATGGTGTCGTTGTAGGCACACTCCAGAGCTGTTGCAAAAGAAGGCCCTTTGGGGCCATGAATGCGCCCCCATTTGAGGTGACCATGGCTGTTATCACATGGAACGCAATGTGGAGGCGCAGTTGAGGAAAACTACACCACAAGGCTGTGTCCTTCTTACGAGGTGCCAGGAACATGCAGGTGTGGAAGGAAAAAGCAAACAGCTTCTTACGGCGTCTCTGTAGCCGACGAAAAGGTCGAGTGACCCACATGAGAGAGCTGGCTGGGTTCTCAATGCTCCAGTCGATGTTTCTGCTGTCCAAAATTTCTACTGCCTCACAAGTATATTCATAAAGCAGGTTGGCCGCATCCACACGCTGTTGTTGCAAAGGTGTGAGATTAGCAAGTCCCATTGGGAACTCCACCGAACGTAAAGGCGGTGGTCCAGGCTGAATCTCCCGAGCAGCACTTGCAGTCCCGCACGGAGGAGCAAAATGAACATAATGAAGGGACGCGGTGCGCAACAAACTAGTCAAAATTTTTCTTTCGGAAGCTTTGACGATGTTCAAACGAAGAATTGGAACCCCCTTGGGCCCCTTGTGATCAATCGACAAAACTTGAAAATTGTGTTTGCGCAAGGCACGCGACAACTTCGCTTGCCCACAAAAAACTTCAACACAAACTGCTGTTTGCAGAGGGTGTTTGTGAATCGGCTCGGCAGCACTTAGTCACTGAGGCTCAGGGCACTGCGTGAGCGGATGCGGCTTATGACACTGGATGCACTGATGGATACCCTTGACACAACGAGTGTACCCATCTTTCTTGTGTGTGGAGTTGGAGCACCCATGTGGCAAATTGTAATTGTAACAAATGCGCATCTTGTCCTTGTTAAGACCGTTGTGCCCCTTGAGGGCGTCCGGCACTTTGACTTTGTTCGCCGATTTCGGCTGTGGCTTCTTCTTTGGCTGTTTCTTGGCACTAGCTGTCTGCTTTGACTTGGCTCCACGCCGGCTTCGAGAGGAACTGGAGGAGCGAGTACGCCTGTTACCTTTGCTAGTGCCTGCAGGCATTGGTAGCAAATGGAAAACCACTGAAGGCGAAGTGTGAAGTTTCAACATCGCCTCATCAAGAGGGTACTTTCCATCAGGACCAACTTTGATGTTGGACTTGCGGTACTGGACGGGACAAATGCTGCATGAAGAAATGGCGAATTTTCTCATGCTTTTCATAAGTCATGATGCCAGCCTGATCAGCGGCGATGCCTCGCCTGACGAAAGCATTTTGCACCTTGAGGTCAGTGGACAAGTCAGCACTGGTGTCAGGTGCTTTGGATTTGACTTGAAGTTGCTGGTCCTCAATCACCACAATGCGTTTGTCAGCTTTCACTGACTGAAGCTCCTGTTCACGGCTAATGCATTTGCTGAGGGCTAGATACTTTGGTGCGGCTTCTTCAATCATCGTTGTGAAGTAGTCCACAACACAATGACCAGGCTCGTAATCCCCCTGAATGGAGAACCCCGTGATGCGCTTGGACAACTGCCGCATGCGTTCATCCCGCTCTTGTGGAGGCAGCCTTTTCACTTGGCCTTCTGCATGTGGTTCCACACGTTGTTTGATGGCAGCCACTGCTATAGTGATAGACTCATAGCTCAACTGTCGCAAAAAAGACTCAGTGCCGAACGTCGGGTTTGTGAAAGCACCTGAAAGGAGGGCCTGAAACCTTGTGTCATCAACGGTGCCAGGCTGGCCACATACAGAGAAGGCTAAATTGTTGAAAGACTTGATACCCTGGTCCACAAGTGCTTGAATGTCAGCAGCTGAAAACCAATCTCCTCGCAACGGTGTTTGAAACTGGCTGTCGACTCTACATAGGCTGACATGGCTAACGTGGAGCGAAAACGCACTGAAAGTGTACAAATGAGAGCAGTGCAAAATGTCCAAGAGAAAATACAATGTGACGCCTAGTCGGTGTTTAAGTGTTCAACTGGAAATTAAAAGTGTTCATGATTAAAAAATTCCAGTGTGCATCAAGAGAGGGGAACGCGCCCTCTGAGCCTCTGCAAGAGACGAGTGTTCATGCTAGTTGTTTGGCCTTCCTCCCCGACTTACAAGTGTCTCAAGCAGGTGTACAACCCTGATGTGAGAATGGGTGAGGTAGACCTAATCAACTGACATCACATGTGTCCACTCGAGAAGTGGTGATCACATGATGCACTGCTGAAAAAAAAGGAAAAAGGTGCACATGAAAGGTTGTACAAGACCTTCACATGAACAAGCAAGTGTGCATGAAAGAGAGACACGAGACTCTTTCCTCATTCATTGGTAGCACGTACAAATGCTGGGCCTGCCATTCGGCTGGCAAAACAAGTTTTGCACTTAGGGCATTCTACCGTGGCACCTCGTCCATGGATGTCGTATCGGGCAGAAGGTCGCCGTCCACATAGGAAGCCTTTGTCATCGGCCTGCTTGAGGTGAAGCACGGAGGAGGCTTTGTGGATCCACACTTCTAGATTGCTAGATGTAGCAACCAGCTTTGCACGCAATTCATGGCCCAGCAGGCTCCACAAAGTCTGTGTGTCCTTGACGCAATGCTGTTCTACTCTGCATTCTGACTCAGCATCCGAAGACATCAGTCTCCGTACCCGAGTCAGAGTCCCCTGCCCACCTTGCAAAGCCATCGTTGCCAACGTCTTTCCAGTCATCCTCGGCTGGCATGTCTTCGCCCTGTGGCTCAGCGTCCTCTCCTGGCAACTTCTGGACAAACCTGCCGGAACGGGTGTTGTCAGGGAAAAACTTTTTGGCAGCAATCTGATGGACAACTGTAGCCAGAGCACGAAGCGCTGGTGCCATGGCATCTCGAGAATAACATTCTGCAGACTTCGAAGCCAGATCAAGGTGGTGACCCAAGTTTCTGCGAAGCTGTAAACAGGCACCGCTTTTTGCCATCCAGCTCAAAGGGGTCACTTTGCATGAGTGACTTCGAAGTGCATTCCTGTTCATTGTCTGCACCTTCAATGTCTGTCTCAGGTACTCACCAATCTCACTGGCTTGCAAGGATCGAGGATAGGCTGAACCTCTTTCATCGAAGTGAGGCATCAAAGGGAAGGCAATCTCTCCCTCCACACCAAGCTCAAGCACAGTCCTGGCCTCAATCCATGAATCAAACCAGTTCGTCCCAGAAACGCTGACCATCGGTGCCACCACTGGTAAAATAGTCCTCTTGTGGACGTCTGACCGGGCTCCCTTATGTCCCAAAACTGAGAGCTCGATGAAATTATGGGGCTCACTGCATGGGCCACTTGTCATTGGAGCATCCCGATCAACTCGATCCAGCATGATGGCTGTTGTCCGTGCCACGTCTGAGGCTCTTGCACAGCCATATGTCATGATGAGGATGCCACCAGTCAAAACCCTGTCAGGCAAGGATTCCGCTGAACAGCAAAACTTCTCAAGCTTGCCAACTTGCTCGACAGTCAGGGGTGCAGCCTGAAGAATAGGTGGTGCCCTCAAGACAAGTGACTTGGCTAGCCCTGCAACTCGCTGTGAAATCATCATTGCACGGTTCCCAGTGAGTCCCAGCATACCACTCGTGAACCTGACCGCCTCAAGGAAAGATCTGCCCGATGAAGCCGAAGATGAAGGGTCGTTAACCAGATGCGTCATAAAGGCATGAAGGTTATGTTCCAACAAAGGGAAAGGAGTCAAATTACCAGACTTGCAAAAATCTGCGAACCTGACCATGGAGCCCAGCCTCTTTGCAATGGTGCTTGTTGCTTTGCCACACAAACACTCAGTAACAGTGCGAAGTACAAACTCACGCTGTTCATCAAAAGTTGCTTCAGCCGGCACTCCATCAAACGCAGCGAACGCTGAAATGTCCAACATGACCAAGGACGTCCAACCACTGACCAGTGTCTGTCTGCGCGCCTCTTCATTCTCCAGGCTCGATCTCGCGAGTGCCTGCATGTAAACGGGCCTAGGTGACCCAGCTTTAAACGCCTTAGCCAATGGAGTCTCGGGCACATCGTCGACAACCGCTGTCTCATGACACGGCAGCAGTGCTGGGCGTTTCAACGGGGGAACCTTGAAGAGCTCCTCTGCTACACTCTTTTTTCCAAAAACAGCGGAAAGAAAACTGTTGCTCTCCCACATGAAAGAAGGTGCAGCATTTGCCAAACTCCTCGAAAAGGCTCTTTCGGCTCCAGCATGATCAAAATTGGGATTAGCTTCAACTCTAGGTGGAACAATTTCAGATACTGAGCTTGAGGCCTATGGCATCCTCACCCGCTGGCGACTCTGATGCAACAGCACTGTGTCCCAACTGGTGGGCATGCTGCATCAGTTCATTCATAGATGTGTTGACTGACCTCGTGTCAGAACAATCGTCTCCAAAGATATCCTCACCCCCCTGAATGTCCATGACAAACATAAATAACAAACTGCAGAAATAGTACAAAGACTGCAAGGGTACCCAAAATGACAGTGAAGCGGAGCAGTCGCACTTGAGTACGGTGTACAGAAATCAACAGCAAAAGGTTGTTGTTGATGGTGTTGACAAAATGCAAAATATTGTGGAGATCCACAGCTGCGGTCGCAGGGGACGATGCACCTGAAGACGCAGTTGTTCCTGACATACAAAATCACTCCTGGAGTAGCAGCCAAACGAAGGCTGACAACCAGCCTGCAGCGAAAAAGGCAAGATAGCTGACACCGGCACAGGCCAATTTGCGCAAGGAAATCGGCTTCGGCACCACTCGCAAAGCAGCAACGCCACGGTCGCGGGCGCCCATCCACGGTTCTACTTTGTAGAAAAGAGCGAACGGTTCTGGTCCACTTGCTCTTGTCCAGTTGGAGCCAAGAAGAGTGTCTGGACTCCTAAGACGTTTGCGGTTCTTGGCCTCTGGTCCCTTGCGACCAAGCGTCCACAATGCCAAGGTCACTTGACCAGCCTAAATGGGACCAGGCCACCTGAGGCCAGTGATGCCACGACCGTTTCCCTACGACGACGTGGTGGTAAACCGGCGGTGCTGCCCGACGAGACATGGAACCGGAAGGAGTCGGCTCAAGAATGAGCAAAACAGACCTGCCGAAAGAGAAATTGGTCGGTCACAGATCAGAATCGGTGACCCCTGTCTGTTGGAGCAACGTGTGAGACAAAATGTAGGTGGGCGCTCAGGCAACCAAGAACTTCAGGTTCGAGTTCGAGCATGTTTGCATCAGCATGTGCAGCTTCCAACAGAGCGACGGTTTGGGCGCTACTTTCAGGATCACGCTGGAGATTGCATGAAGAAGCTCAGCAACGCGGACAACCATAGGGATTCTGATGACTGGCCGGATAGGTACACAAGTGATTTGGGCGTGTTCCGTCTCGCCAACTGCCCACCATGGAGTGGAAGAAGTGTTCAAGTTCACGAAGGCGAGTTTAGCCCTGTTCGTTGCATTCTTTGACCTGCAATGTTTGAAACTGTTCCCCTGCATCATGAGTCATGGTGATTTCAAACCCGAGTAGTATGGCCTGGAGTCAAACTGCATGATCTCAGAGGATGCTCCAGGACCGGCGCTGGTGGGAAATGGTGCTGGAGGCAAGGAAGCAACAGCACTGGTCACATAAGATCTCGAGGAAGGCTCATGGCGAGGAACTTCTGCAGGGTATGGTCCAAAGATGTCATCAGCTCGACGCATGGCTGGAGGCCAAGAACGGTTTGCTTCGGAATCACGCTTTTGCCCAAACATTTTTGACGGTAAAATGAACTAGACGACGGATGGCCCGAGCGCGAGAGAAGTACATTGAGATGTATAACTGTGGAGGTCGTAGAGCACTACAAAGAAACTGGGGAGGTCATCTTGTCTGAGATCGCTTTTGGTGTGAATTTGGGGGTTTGAAAAGTGACCTCAAACATGCGCCAGGCGGTCCTGCAGTCAGAAGTTGATTGGCTCAAGGCAAAGCGGCGAGAGCTCAAGCAGCAGATGAAAGAAGCTCGAGTGGCAGCAAAGAAGTTGCAGAAGCGAAAAGCTAAGTTGGTGAACGCTTTAGATGTGACTGACGCAGGCCGCTAAGCAATTGAGCGCAGAAGATCTCGAAATGCTGTGGCGCGCGCGCCGTCTTGAAGAAGCTGCAGATGAGAGCCGTTTCTTGCTCGCATTGGAGCCAAATGAAGAAAACAAAAGACGTTGGCTGCAACGCCCATTGAGCTTCTTCCATGTACGCTCTCCTATTACATACCTTGTCAATTTAGGTATGGCTATATTGAAATCTCAGGACCTTTCTTCCTCTAAGATTTCCGACTTGCAGACAGCCATTGCTATCGGCCAGGCTAATTGCACCACTGCCAGGCGCCAAGCTTTCCCTTTTCTTTCTGTCATTGTGGGTGTGCTTTCTACCATGCTCACAAGATATCTTGGCACTTCATCGCGATGCTGTGATGTCATGAAGATTGGTGTTGACTCCTGCCAGGTTACTCGGACCGATTTGAAGAAATTTGGCGAAGCAAAGTAGACGCCGCGAGATCAAGTGCATGGTGCTGATCGGATGGTGGCAGTGTTTTACTTGAGCAGATTCCACGGAGCTTGAACGAAGTGTGGGCGATGTGCGCATGGACCTACACAGGTTTTTCTGTTTAATGTGTGCCTGTAAACAAGGAGCATTGGAGTCTGTTCAGGTTTGGGGACCTGCCATGTTTTTCCTCCGTTGCGAAAGGCAAGTTGGGAGGGTTGTGTCTCACAGTTTCACGTATGCCATTGGTGCAAGTAGTGGCAAGAACTGAAACTGGACGCGCCGAAAGGATGTCCGACAAAGGTCCTGCACTTGCAGCCGATCGCTTGATTTGTGTTCTTGAAAAATCTCACTGAATCTCACTTTGTTGTGTTTTTCAAGAACTGGCCGTGTGTTCATGTGTGTTGCAAACAATGTATGTGAAAGGAACAGTTGCTTCGCAGGCAACTTTGAATCTGATGGTCAATATTTTCGTATGATAGCTCGATTGGCTGCTGTGTTTTTTGGCGAGCCAAGTGGGTTGCGAGATCTGAGGAGTGGTGACCCCTTCAAGATGGGTATATTCGGCAAAATTGCATACACCTGTTCAAGGTTGATGTACCGCCAGGCAATTTGCAGATGGTCTGTTCCGGGTTCTACTTCCGAAGCTCAAAAGCTTGGGCCGTACAACGCTCCCGCCAAACTGGGCGCTTTGCAGTGCCGTATCGCGTTTCGGAGGCTCAAAATCTGTGCCATGTACAAGTGTGTCGTTGCACATGTGAACTGTGAACATGACGAGGTCCAACTCAATACAAATTTGCTCGGTTCTATCTGACATATGTTCTGAAATTTTGTGTGTTTTTTGGTTGATTTTGATCTCACGAAATTTTCAGCACGTGCTTTGCAGTTTATTTGTGATTTGCTCGCAGATGGACTACGGATGGGGGCGACCGGTCCAGCAGGTGCGCATCTGGCTCAGCCTTGACATCTTGAAGAACGTATAGTTGCTGTGGAGCACTAACTCAAGCAAAGCTTCATGTTTTTTGGAAAGCCTTGCTTAGAAACTGTAGCGCGCCATTGAGTGGTCCAGGGTGCTCGTGCTGTGAATCGGGATTGCAGATGATAAGTGCTTGCATGAACAAGTCCGGCATGATTGATCGATGTGCAGTCTTTGTAAAGTTGCGTTAATGTGCATATGACACTTCTCAGAGGGTCTCCTTTTGAAACCAACATTATGGGTCATGCGTGTTTTAAGTCTGGGAGCCTTTGTTTGAAGCTTAATCAAGCACAACAAATTTGGCGAAGTGCAAGTTGTGCGAGCAGAAGAGTTTGCTCAGACAGTTTGATTCAGCAAATCTTAATTTGCATGGACAACATCGAGTGTTGAATTCAACAAGACGGACAATAGACAACCAAAGATCATTTTTCAATCTTTTCATGCGTTGTTGCTGTGTCTCGCTGTCCCCTTGCCTCCGCGTCTTTTTTTTTCTCCAGTTCGCAGTGTTTCCTTCTTCTTCCGCTTTGCTTTCCACACGCGGATGATTCGCGACGCGTGTTTTGCGCCTTTCGGCGTGTACTACACGTCTTCTTGGCACGCGCAGTATATTGGTGATTTGTTTCCCAAGCACGGCGCCTGCCAAAGCGCAAGGTAATTGTTCCAAGCATCAAACTGAGCAAAGGTTTTTCAAGCCCTTGCTTGCCACGATTTCTTGCCAATGCTGTGTCAAGATCCCCTCTTCGATCCAAAAATGCGCCTGCCAAGATTTCATGTCAACATCCCGCATTTGTTGTCCCAAACCTGCCCCTCCAAGAAATCACAAATTTCAACGCGAAAATGGCCCAATTTATCCAAACATGATTTTCCAAGGTTCTCCATGTGATTTTCCAAGTTTCGTTTGGCAGCGTTTTTTCGCAAAATGCCGCAGCAAGATTGAACTGGGGAGTTTTGATTGGAAAGATTTTTTGTGGCAACCACCGGCCAGACACCTGAGAGATTGAGCTGGGGATTTTTGATTGGAAGGATTTTTCGTGGCAGGTGGAGACCGGACACTTGCAAGATTGAAGTGGGGATTTTTGATTGGAAAGATTTTTTGTAGCAAACACCGGCCAGACACCTGAGAGATTGAGCTGGGGATTTTTGATTGGAAGGATTTTGGCGTGGCAGGTGGCGGCCAGACACTTGCAAGATTGAAGCGGGGTTTTGAATGGAAGAAAAATTTGTGGGAAGCACCGGCTGGACACTTGAGAGATTGAGCTGGAGATTTCTGATTGGCGGCATTTTTCGTGGAAGGTGGCGGCCTGACACTTGCAAGATCGAGTTGGGGGTTTTTGATTGGAAGGATTTTGGCGTGGCAGGTACCGGCCGGACACTTGAGAGATTGAGCTGGGGATTTTTGATTGGAAGGATTTTTTGTGGCAAGCGCCGGGCAAGAAACTTGAGAGATTGAGCTGAGGATTTTTGATTGGAAGGATTTTTCGTGGCAGGTGGAGACCGGACACTTGCAAGATTGAACTGGGGATTTTTGAATGGAAAAAAAATCGTGGCAACCACCGGCCAGACACCTGAGAGATTGAGCTGGGGATTTTTGATTGGAAGGATTTTGGCGTGGCAGGTGGCGGCCAGACACTTGCAAGATTGAGCTGGGGATTTTTGATTGGAAGGTTTTTTTGTGACAAACGCCGGCCAGACACTTGCAAGATCGAACTGGGGATTTTTGATTGGAACGATTTTTCGTGGCACGTGGCGGCCAGACACTTGCAAGATCGAGCTGGGGATTTTTGATTGGAAGGATTCTTGCGTGGCAGGTACCGGCCGGACACTTGAGAGATTGAGCTGGGGATTTTTGGTTGGAAGGATTTTGGCGTGGCAGGTGGCGGCCAGACACTTGCAAGATTGAGCTGGGGATTTTTGATTGGAAGGATTTTTTTGGGACAAACGCTGGCCAGACACTTGAGAGATTGAGCTGAGGATTTTTGATCGGAAGGATTTTTGTGGCAGGTGGCGACCGGACACTTGCAAGATTGAAGTGGGGATTTTTGATTGGAAAGATTTTTTGTGGCAAACACCGGGCAGACACTTGAGAGATTGAGCTGGGGATTTTTGATTGGAAGGATTTTTCGTGGCAGGTGGCGGCCAGACACTTGCAAAATTGAAGCGGGGTTTTGAATGGAAGAAAAATTGGCAACCACCGGCCAGACACCTGAGAGATTGAGCTGAGGATTTTTGATTGGAAGGATTTTGGCGTGGCAGGTGGCGGCCAGACACTTGCAAGATTGAAGCGGGGTTTTGAATGGAAGAAAAATTTGTGGGAAGCACCGGCTGGACACTTGAGAGATTGAGCTGGAGATTTCTGATTGGCGGCATTTTTCGTGGCAGGCACCGGCCTGACACTTGCAAGGTTGAGCTGGGGATTTTTGACGTTTTTTTTTTGACTGGTGTCGGGCAGACGTTTGAGAGATTGAACCTGGATACAAACTTGTTTTCTACTTTGCATTTTTTTTGCAAAATGTAACGCTACACTACTTTGATAGTAAAGTAAAAAATGTTAAAATGTTTTTTAATACTTGAACCAAGTGTAGCGTTACATTTTGCAAAAAAAAATGCAAAGTACCCGGAGTCAGATTCTTCAGCTTCAAAAGACAAAGCCCTGCCGGTGCAGCAGTTCAGATTTTGTGAGACTGTGCAGGACATCCTGCGCAGGCAGAATGCCTGTATTTTTCAGGGCCGCGTAAACGGCGTAAGCACTTTCAGATACGATCATTGATTTTCTTGCGTCAGCGGACTTGCGTAAGCAGATTGCTTGTCATTGTTGGTCCTATGTTGTCATGGAAAAAACAAACT